TGCTGTGAACACATCCCGTTGACTGCAACGTGTAGAGACATTGTATCGAGGAAGAAATTGCGAGTCTGGCCCATGTCGTATTCTTCAAGCACGCGAGCTCTATCATAGCCGATGTTATGTCCCACAATGATACGTGACTTTGATGGGTCTCCGAGAGGTACCAGTTGAATCTCATTCTCCGTCTCGCCCAGCAGCCAAGGCGAAATCCACGCATACCAAGCCGTAGGACTAACTGCGCACGCCATGACCGCAAAAGAATGTACTTTGTACAGTACTTCGGTGTCGAAGGTCAGAATCGATTCGTTGGGTGCATCCACGGCTTCCCAGGAGCCGTCGGAATTATACTTCGTCCATCCGCTGCGGTTCACCCATTTGCGTGGCTTTTCTGGCGAGTTGACAGTGATATATTCCTTCGCAAGCGATAGGTACGGTTCTGAGCAGTCCATTCCTAGCTTGAAAAAGTGTTCATCTAGCGATTGTCCTTGGAGGGTTGGCATATCGAAGGCAACGGGCTCGGTGGCATCCTGGGACTTTCCGAGCAAATCATGCCTGGATAGATGTTCTTTTGCTAAGGCGACAAGGTTTGGGTCGGGAGGATCTGATCTCGTGGGGAATACTTGAGAATATACATGGTCGCTCAGCTGTTGAACTCCAATCTCGTTAAACCTAGCCAGAGCAGGGACTGCGCCATTAGTACTTAATTTCTGACACATTTATAGATCCGAGCTATGAGTTACCGGAAAGTGAGCCCTGATCCGCGCTCTTCCTACCAGACTCATTGGTGGTGGATTGAGTAGCGAGGTATCTTGATATTTGTACTGTCCCTTTGCGAGGGATGCGAGACGAACGCAATCTCTGCGAAAAAAAGATAGCTGCATCCCTGCGACAGGGAGCGCAGGGGATACTCCAGAGCATGATGTCAAGCGGATAAAGTAATATAGATCAGTCCATGGTATGACGATTTGAGATGTCGCAGCCGATGCTGCGCAATGAAGAGTGCGACCGAGCTTTGGGGATTGGAATCTTTTGGCTCACAAGGAGGGCCGGGCGATCGTCTTTTCTTTCCTATTGGGCTATTTCGGCGTCATGATGAGAAATACTGGAATATCGATGTTCCGTAACTTCGACCGCCTTCCTATCAAAGGTAGCAACCGCTTATCGCCAACCGCGATAAGATCAGTGGCAGCAGATCTTCTCCGCCACGCTTGACTGAGACGATTCAGTCTGCCTTCACTCTCTTGATTTGTGTTCTAGAAACTAAAGTCTTGACCATGGATATCCGCCGTTACTCCTTAGACTCGTCACCAACAAGCCCAAGTGATCATCCGACGGAGTTCCCAGACCCCAAGCGACGCCGCCTAGCCCCTCCCTTCCAGCTTGACGGACAGTCAAGTGAGGCGGCATCTATCGACTTGACCGAGACCGAGGAGATGTCGGAAATCTCGAAAACACAGGCGAAGCAGCGGGCAGATGCCATTCTCGCACAGCAGTCACTTGAGAATAATGCTGAATCAATCTTTGCTGCTTACAAGTGCCCCGTGTGTATGGACACTCCCGTAGATGCTACCAGTACTGTGTGTGGTATGGCCTTGGATTCCAGTGTCAACTCCAGATTGGCGGGGGCGAACGCTTACAATTCAATCTAACTTTGCATAGGACATCTTTTTTGTCACAAATGCATCACCGATACCCTAAAGTTCAGCGAAGAACGGTCAGACTCTACTAGTAAATCGCCGAAAGGCACTTGCCCGGTGTGCCGGAAGCCTTTGTCACGAAACGACGTCGCAGGCCCGAAACGACATTTAATACCTCTGCAGATAAAGCTGCTGCGGCGTAAGAGAAACACAGGGAACACTTCGGCTGCATGAGGGAGCTTTTGCTCGGCGAGTAACCAGGGCGGAGTATGAAACTCCCGGCATGTTCTCAGGGCGGAGTATCATACTGCGCAGACCTTGCGATCTCGCCACCGAACTTGATAATGAATACTATCTGACGACTACCGACGTTGCTACGCTACGACGTGTCATGGTGCAATGAGCAGGGGCTGCCGTGGCTGTACACAGTAGCGGCGACCACAACCTTCTGACACCAAAGGAGCCCAGATTAGGGCGATCGGAGCCTCTCTCACAGCATACAATGATGATATCTCTCCATGACGCTGTTGCAATGAAACCTACAAATGGAGTTTGAGCTTTGGCAATCTCGTTGAGTGTGCGAGACGCTCAGGCAGGGGTCTCAACGATGAGCACTATGATTCTGACTTACAAAATGCGAGAGAGGCCCCTCGTTAGATAATCGAGGAGACGGGAATCGCTCTAGAGCCTTGCGTTGTTTTCTAGCGGGCTGTCAAGTGGTGGAACATTACAGTACAGAAAGAAGCCAAGAGATATGCTCACTGTAGCCAAGAGAAATTGCATGGACCTTGCAAGGTTTAAATCTTTACTTAGTTGATGTTGACGGACTACGCTTCTTTATCTATTCTTCTTAGTCTTCTTCGTGCTATAGTCCCAACTGACTTCACTGTAAAAGTGAGTGTTCAAATTAAGCCTGAAGAATGTATCGTCCGCGGAATGGTATGACCGAGTCGACGTCATTTCCCCGCGGTGATGCGGCATCCCCTTTACGGGCGGCATCTTCGTGCAAATGCCCCGTGCACCTGCCGCACACCATCACTACAAATCCTACAAATCTCCGAGATTTCCAGGCTTTGAAGGATTCCGACAACCATCATCTCAGGCTGATCAACTTATGGCATACTCTGTTCTCTGTGTCTCAAAACTACCCTGGATGTTGAATCCATGTTCAATGCAGAACTTCTCCACTGACCCAAGCCCACGCAGCCAGGCCGTAATCTGGATGCCATGAGTGTCCATTCCTTTGACCATGCGCAGACCGCAGAATTACCATCCACCTCTCACCAGGTAGAAGACATCGAAGCCAACCCACGTCCTCAGGATCCACCGATCTCGCCAACCACGCGGGCGCCCCCGTCTCCGGACGCGTTTACCACGGCTGCGAGGCTCAACTCGCGGGACACTGCCAGGATTCGCAGGCGGCGTTCAACCACCGCGCGCTCATACTATCGCGAAGATGGCGCCCATGACCAGAACTGGCAACCTGGCGAGGAGCCGGGCATTGACCCAAATCAGCCACTGCCGGCCTACAATGCCGAGTGGATGGCTGCAACCGCCGCCGACCTGTACAAACGCTGTGAGATCTCCGTCGTGGACTTTTCGCAACATGAGATGCGCCAGTACATCCTCGACAACGATACTCTAGAACCTTTCCTTGCGCGCGAGAGGGAGCCCTGGGTGCAGTGTCGGTGGATCAACGTTAACGGGCTGAGCTGGGATGTGATTCGAATTCTCGGCAACCACAAATGCCTGCATCGGCTTGCCATCGAGGATCTGATCAACGAGACTAACCGCACCAAAGTGGACTGGTACTCGGATCATGCGTACATCGTTCTCAAGTTGCAGAAGCTGATCAAGCTGAAAGATGATGAGGAGGATAGTGATTCGGATGATAGCAGCGACGGCGGACACGGCCCATGGACGAACGATCGCAAGAGCTCCACGGCCAGCACAATTTCACTAAAACGGCCCACTAAACGCACAGTGATCCTGGAGGCTTTGAAGGATATCTTTAGATCTAAGTCATCCGCTCGAGATGGTTCAGGTAGACGTACGTCCAGTGGGCTAGGCAAGGCTGCCTCTAAAGTGTCCGGCCTGAGTGACCTGGAGAATGAACTCCCACCTCGCAGCATTCAGCGGCTTCGTGGCGGCCCAAACGAAGAGCGTATCGCCTTCATGGAACGGCACGCCATCCTGGCTGCGAAGCGGTTGTGTGTTATTCTCGAACAGGTGTCTATTTTCCTTCACTCAGACAACACCGTGACATCGTTCTTCGAGAACAGTGCAGACGATATCGAAGCCCCGATTGTGAGGCGACTCAGCTCCCCGGAGACTATCTTACGTCAGTCGTGCGACGCTAGTATGATTGTGCAGGCGATACTAGACGCTATCATTGATCTTGCCATACCTGTGACGACCGCCTACCAGGATGCCATAGGTGACCTGGAACTGGAAGTCCTGACCGACCCTGACGTTGATCAGTCGAAGAGTCTCTACGTCCTCACATCCGAGATTGCTATTCTGCGGAACTTCATGCAACCCATCGCTACGATAATCAACGCACTGCGAGACCACCGTTCGGAACCTATTCATACGCCTGGCCTAGGAGCGTTCAAAAACCTTGGTACGAGTAGCCCTGCAGGCGACGGGACGCCATTCATCGGGACCGCCACGCCAAATCTGAAAAGTCTAGGTGGTTCGAGCGTATCGATTAGTCCTCTATGCCACACCTATCTGGGTGATGCACTGGATCACTGTATCACGATTGTCGAAGGCTACGACCAAATGCGAAGGGCTGCCGATAACATGATTGATCTAATCTTCAACACCATCGGTGAGTTTTAACACACGGCGTTGGGTTTGAGCGCGAGCTAATATTTTGCAGGTGCATATCAGAACGAGAGCATGAAGCAACTCACATTGGTGACGTGTTTCTACCTTCCTCTGACTTTCTTGACGGTATGCTGGAGCAAGTGGCTGCCACGAGCTTTTCTTTACTGATCCCTACCTGTAGGGCTACTTCGGAATGAACTTTGATGACTTCTCTGGCATTCATCACAGCGATTCGTGCGTTCATCCAGTCCAAAATCCCCGTAACCTCGACACTAACGTCAACGCCTAGATATTTCTGGATGATCGCCGTGCCGTTCGTTTTTGCGACCACCATGTTTCTGATGTAAGATTGTCTCTTCCCTGATCTCCCCAAGAGCAATTTTAATGGCTTCTCCAGGCGCGACAAACTCCAGCGCTACGTGGTTTCGCTCGCGCAGAAACGACTCATCACCAGCTCCAGAAAGAGGCGACAGAGGAAGAAGGCCACGGAAAAGACCTGACCCCTTGGCATTAGAGTTGAATTCTTCCATTTTGTTTCTCGGATACCCATGGTGCAACTAGAATAACTACGTTGCAAAGATTCCTTAATTATATAGATGAACCCCAGGTGTTACATAGCATGGCCCAACATCATCAAGCTCACACGATTACGTACGGGGCAGTAAATGGTGCAAGACAAACAATGATAGCACATATATTACATAGACTACCTGTCAGGACCTGACTGACGGCTGTACGATCCGATCCCATCACAACGCCTTGCGCTTGAAAGCCCAGTAAGCCTTCCACGGCAACGTCCAATCCGAGCGCAGCAGCTCCGGGCGGAAGATGTCGAAGTCGAAACTCTCGAGCCGGGCCAACCACAGCCGCGTGGGGATGGCCGGCATCAAGACGCCGAACGCGCGGTTGACCTCCTCTAAGGGCGTCTCCGCCCGCTGCTGCGGGGTGTGGGTGTGCTCATACGTATGGCCCTCCTCGCCCTCGTGCTCGAACTCATGCCCCACATCCTGGCCGGCGCGGAGGTTGCTCAACATCTGCTGCGCGGTGATGAGGTGGTCGTTCGCCCGCGTCGCCACCGTGAAAACCGCATCGCGCAGGCCCGGCGCCTCCGCCCCCTGCCGGAACACGTCCTCCTCGCGCAACCCAGCCTGGGCCATCACATCCAGCGGCAGCATCACGGCGCCCTGCTTGTTGTTATACTGCCCGACCCCGGCGCCAGGGTTCTGTTGCTGCTGCTGCTGCTGCTGCGGAAAGGCGACGAGCGGCAAGCCGCGCAGCACGGCGGCGATGCCGACGGCCTTGCCGACGTGGGAGGCCAGATGGTCGGCGGTGACGGAGGCCATGGGCAGCGCGGACAGGGTCAGGTAGAAGAGGGTGGAGTAGGTGTTCTCGGCGTAGGTTTCAAGCGCGGCGAGGGTCGGGTACGGGTCGTTGGTGAGGGTCTGCTCGCGCGCGTTGATCAGCCGGGTCAGCCAGCCTTTGCTGATGCGCGCGGTGCCGCCGGTGCGGGTGTGCAGGTCCTCGATCGCCGCCGCCAGCAGGATCGCGATCGGCTCTTTCGGGGGACGGCCCGCCAGCGTCTTGGTCACGGCGTCGCGCCAGTACTGCAGCCGCATCAGGCCGATCGTGTGCGACGAGGTCGTGTCCGGGATCAGCGAGAGGGAGACGTTGAGGGCGCGTAGCGCGAAGTACATGGGGCGCGCATGCTGCGGGATGAAGGTGTGCAGGAGGTAGGCTGGGCTATCGTACTTTCTGTTTGTAATAATAAGAAAGGGGTTATTAGATGAGAGCTAGGCTGGGAAGCGGAGCTTTTCGTACTGTAGGAGGTTTGAGCAGTAGGCTTGAGCAGCTTGGACTTCGGCTTCCGCTGCGGATGATCGACCCTGGAAGTGGCGCTTTTGAGGGCGCTGTGGTCTCGTGCGAGCCAGAGACCGGCGGCATAGCTGCTCGCTTGTGCGACATGGCTGGATGAATTTGTTGGAGAGAGACATTGCTGGCTGGGACGGTGCGGGTGGAGGAGGGTGGGGATTTTTGGTTAGATGAGGTTATTGCGGAGGTCGTTTATCGCTGCCGTGGCACATTGCATAGTTATATGAGACTATTCCTTCGCAGGCGTGGTCAGTTCGAAGTCCAATTGGAAGCCGATAAGAAAAGATAGCATCACCTACACGTCAATTGAGGCTCATTGTCATTTCTTCTGGTCAGGCGAATGTCGTTCAGTCCGAGGTTAAGCTTAAGCTGAAGCAAGCCGATTTAGTCCAAATTTTATTGGGCGAAGCGGGTGGAACACGAAATGACGTCGGGCCGACCTGCAAATCGCGTCTCGGCGCGTCTCATTCTTTCTGCTTAAGTGGATTTTTGCCCCAGGAACGTTGGAAAAAAACTCCCCAAATAGCAACATTCAGGGGGAGATGTTTGACGCAGGATGCATTTCCAGGATGCCGATGGACGACCTTTGAAGAAGCGACGGTTTTTCGCCGACGATGAGGATGTTTCGCCTCCTCACTCAGCCAGCGATGGTCTCACTGCTGCGGACTCTGAAGTACCGGCTTCGACCCTGTTGAAGGACTCTAATGAGGAGTCCCTTGCTCAGAACACCCAAGATGCTGACTTGACCTCGTCACACTCACCTGTCGGCTTACCAGACGCCAACGCAGTCCCTCATGAGGAGGCTTCTCCCGCGAAGCACGACTTGCCACCGTCCCATCTGGACGCAGAAATCTTAGAGCGACAGAGCGTTGACCACGGGTTTGATACGGCCACCTTCCTTGCCATAGTTGGACAAGACGTCCCTCAACACACCCTCATCAAAATCCGCAAAGCAGCCGGTGGTGACCTCGAACGGGCCGTGAACATTTTCTTCGATGGATCCTGGAAAAGCCCTCCGACTGCCACCTTGAGCCAGACCACACTCCTACCCCGCGAGCGAACCCTTCCCGCGCAACCATCTCCACCCACGACCCGTCCACCACCGGTCTCCTCGAACGGCACACACGTCACAGATAAAGCCAGTCCACGAGTGAAGTCACAACCGCAGCTGAGATACATCGGCGCATTCGGCGTCGGGGCGTGGGCTACGAGGAGTGGCGTTGGGCTCGTCAAGCATGGAGAGCATGTCAATATCGAGCGCGCGCGGTCTCAACCCGTTGCGAAACGGGGTCGCACGGGCAAAATGATCAGCAACCAGAAGGGCGATGTCCTCACACGGTTCACCACGAAATCCGGCCAGGAGATCGGGCGTCTGCCTCGGGAAACGGCCGAATGGGTATCGACGCTGATCGACCAAAAGGTTTGCAAGCTCGAGGGGGTCTGCGTCTTCGCGCCGGACAGGATCCGCGTGAACGATACGATTTATCTGCAGCTGTGGTGCTATCTGCGCATCGAAGCGTTTCAACCTCAGATCCTCGATGACACCACTGACGACAACAGGTCGACCACTATATTCGAGGAGAAGGAAAGCGTCGAAGAGAAGAAATTGCGGCTCCGTCAGGTCGCGCTGGTGAAGCTCTTCGATGAGATCGGTCTCCAACCGACTTCCATCAACGATATGACCCGGAAGCATAAAAAAGAGGGATTGCTGCGTGCAGCAGAGATGGCCGATCAGTATGACCGGGTCAAGAAAGAGAACCAGTCGAACAACGACTCATCGGGAGAGGAAGAAACCCCGGAGCTGGAAGAGGACCAGCTTGATACGCTGTACAAGAAGGCCCAGTCGTTCGACTTCAGTATGCCGGAAGCGCATCCTCCGGCCACGTTTACGATGGACCTGCGAAAGTACCAGCGACAAGCACTGTATTGGATGCTGGCGAAGGAAAAGGACAAGGAGTCCGCAAGGGAAGAGTCTCTGCATCCTCTGTGGGAAGAATATTCTTGGCCGACGAAAGATGTGGATGACAAGGAGTTGCCTGCGGTGGACGGAGTGGACCATTTCTACGTCAATCCGTACTCTGGGATGCTGACCCTCGAATTTCCCAAGCAGGAGCAACATTGTCTCGGTGGGATCTTGGCTGATGAGATGGGTCTGGGTAAGACCATCGAGATGCTAAGTCTGGTCCATGCTCATAGGAATGAGCCCCAGAGTTCTGGTGGCTTGGTGAGGCTTCCACAGGCCTCTGCGGGCAGGGTTTTTGCCCCTTATACGACCCTAGTAATTGCACCAACATCACTGCTTGCGCAGTGGGAGAGTGAATCATTGAAAGCTTCTCAGCCCGGCTCGATGAAGGTCCTGATGTACTATGGGACGGAAAAGAATGTTAACCTCAGAGATTTGTGTGCTGCAGGTAATGCCGCTGCGCCCAACGTGATCATTACGAGTTACGGAGTCGTACTCGCAGAGCACCGTCATCATACGTCCACCGTCCTGTCTCAAATGGGCTCGGGCGGCTTGTTCTCTCTGGACTTCTTTCGGATCATCATCGACGAAGCTCATATGATCAAGAATCGTCAGTCCAAATCCGCAAAGGCGTGCTACGACCTGAGCGCAACTCATCGATGGGTCCTCACCGGCACACCGATCGTCAACCGGTTGGAGGATCTGTTCAGCCTGGTGCGGTTCCTGAAGGTCGAGCCCTGGAACAACTTTTCCTTCTGGAAAACATTCATCACCGTGCCATTCGAGTCGAAAGACTACGTGCGCGCTTTGAATGTCGTACAAACAGTGCTTGAGCCGCTGGTCCTCCGTCGGACCAAGACCATGAAGACACCTGAGGGTGAGCCCCTGGTACCGCTGCCACGGAGAACGATTCAGATCGAAGAGGTCGAGCTTCCGGAGCAAGAGCGTGAGATCTACGACCTAATCTACACCCGCGCTAAGCAGACCTTCAACAGCAATGTTGAAGCCGGCACCCTACTGAAGTCGTACTCGACAATTTTCGCACAGATCCTCCGTCTCCGTCAGACATGTTGTCACCCCATCCTCACGCGCAACAAGTCGATTGTGGCCGACGAGGAAGACGCCGCCGCCGCCGCCGATGGAGCCAGTGATCTCAAGGACGACATGGACCTACAAGAGCTGATCGACCGCTTCAAAGCCACCACCGAAGCAGCAGGCACCGAGCAGGCCCAAGACTCTCAAGCCAGATTCACCTCGCACGCACTGCGACAGATCCAAACCGAGTCCAGCGGGGAGTGTCCGATCTGCTCTGAAGAGCCCATGATCGACCCCGCCGTGACGGCATGCTGGCACAGTGCGTGCAAGAAATGTCTCGAAGACTATATCCGCCACCAGACGGACAAAGGCGTACCACCGCGTTGCTTCTCCTGCCGCGCGCCGGTCACCTCCAAAGACATCTTCGAGGTTGTTCGGCACCCGTCCCAGTCGCAGTCCCCGGTGTCCACGCCCACGACCGAAGAAACAGATTTATACAACAGCACGCCGCCGCTCGGCTCGCAAGCGCCGCCACCACCACCACCGCGCATCTCCCTCCGCCGCATCAACCCTCTTTCCCCTTCCGCACACACCTCCGCCAAGATCCATTCCCTCCTCAACCACATCACGCGCCTCCCCGCCAACAACAAAGCGGTCGTCTTCTCCCAGTTCACCAGTTTCCTGGATCTCATCTCCCCGCAACTGACGCGGGCCGGGATCCCGCACGTGCGGTTGGACGGCACGATGCCGCAGAAAGCCCGCGCCGAGACCCTGGCGCAGTTCAACCAGACCGAAACGTTTCTGTCTGAGGAAGACGACGTCGCGGACGAGGCAGACATACTTCTCGACGGCGCCAAACCCAGGCGAAACCCCAGACCTTCGGCTTCATCATCCAACCCCAACCCCCGCGTGCTCCTGATCAGCCTCCGCGCCGGCGGCGTGGGCCTCAACCTCACCGTCGCCAACCACGTATTCATGATGGACCCGTGGTGGAGCTTCGCGATCGAGGCGCAGGCGATCGACCGCGTGCACCGCATGGGCCAGCTGCGGGACGTCTCGGTCACGCGCTTCGTGGTCAAGGACTCGATCGAGGGCCGGATGCTGCGGGTGCAGGAGCGGAAGATGAACATCGCGGGGTCGTTGGGCTTGCGGGTCGGCGGGGATGGGTCCGAGGATGAGAAGAAGAAGGAGCGGATTGAGGAGTTGCGGTTGTTGTTTGAGTAGGTCGGCGTAAGTGCCTGGGCACGTGAGTGCCCTGGAGCTGGTGCTGGAGCTGGTGCTGGAGCCTAGGTACCGCTGCTGATGCTTAGGGGAGATGGAGTGGAGGAACAATAGAGTAGGAGTTGTACATGATACCATTGCATTTTCGGGCTTGTTGGATAGGATCGGTGTAGACTAATGTCACTATGCATACTTCAATGAGTTTATTGATCATAGGCTGATTCACATCTAAATTCTCTTATTCGACTACCAACAAAAGATAAACTGCATCCCATCCACAAACAGACCCGGACTAATACAAATCCAAACCCAAACGCCTCAAATTCCCACCCATCAAACACATTGAACTGAGTAGTAGCAGGACATGATATCATACGCGGGCCCCATCTCCATCCTCACCAACCTTTCTGTCCCCAACACTAAGGATTTCTACTTACTTCCCATGATGCAGCACCTTCCCCACCTTCTCCTTCAAATGCGCCATCTTGCCCTGCCCATGGCCCTTCCCGTGCTTCTCGGCCTCGTCCGCTGCTCCGGTTCCACCTCCAGCTCCACCTCCAGCATCTATACACAAGTTAGTAACGCACACTCCCAGGCTTGCAATCGAAAGATACGCACCAGACTTCGCAGGACCCCCCTTCGAGCCCAGCCGCTTCTCGAACTCGAACGGCTCGCGCGGCGCCGGGGTCTGCGGGCCCTTGAGCGCCTCCTCGCTGACTTTGGTGTTGCCGCGGGGCAGCGTGTCGGTCGCGGTCGCTGTCGCTGTCTCGGTCTCGTGGTGTTTTTGCGCTGTGGGAGATATGGTCGAGTCGCGGGCTTCCTTGGTTTCGTTGGTGGGGCCGACGGATTCGGTGTCTGATGCTGCTGCGTCTGCTGCGCCTGCTGCGCTGGTGGGTTGTGTGGCTGTGGATGTGGTGGTGGGTTTGAGCTGCTGCTGCTGCTGCTGCTGGGGTTGAGATGTGGTGGTGGTGGCGGAGGTGGAGGGTTTCGCCTTGGATGATGTATAAGCCTTGTCGTCGGCGGAGATGCTGGAGTCGGGGATGGTCGCGGGCGTGTCTCGGGTTTGGAGGGCGCCTGTGCCGGTGCTGCCGCCGGCTGTGATGGGTGTAGTGCCAGCAGCAGTGGAAGAGGATTTCTGCTCAGGCCCCATACCCTCCGGGGCAGGAAGTCCCCTATTCTCGTGCAGGATCTCATCCTTCTCCTTCTCCTTCTCCTTCTCCCGGATAGCGAGCGTTTCTCCAGCTCCAGCTGCAGCTGCAGCTGCAGCCCCAGACCCAGACCCAGACCCAGACCCAGACACCCCGACATAGGAAGGAACCTGACCCTTGGACGTAGCAGGCAAACTGCCCCTCTGCTCCGAGACCCCACCGGTACTCGACATCTGCGTCTTCCCCGCCGGCAACCCCACCCCCACCCCGGATGCAGCCAACTGCTTCGCACCATGCGACCCGCTACTCGGCGCGCCGGCCGCCTCAGCAGCAGCCGTGGGCGCCGCGGCGGTCAACGGGTCGGGGGTCTCCATCTTCTTTGGGGGTTGCTGCTGCTGCAGCAGGGGCTCGTCGACGATGACGCTCTTCAGCGCCACGTCGGCGTTGCTGGGCGACTTGGGGTTCTTGGCGTGGTCGTGGGCGGAGGTCCCCGTGACGGAGACGAGGGGCTCGGGGATCACGGCGGTGTTGGCGTTTGTGCGGGGGGCGCCGGGTTGGTCTTCTCCTGTTAGCTCTTGCGTGTATTGAGCTCCCAGGGGGGGGGGGGGGGGAAAGGATGATTATGGGACACGGGATGCCTGTGCAGATTTCCTGCCGTGTCTGGCCAAGTGGGACTAGACTCACCATCACGGTTCCCGCCATCGTACGGATCAGTCGCTGTGCCCTTTCCCTGGATTCCGGACAGGGGCTCGTCGCCGTGCGGTTGGAGCTGTTGCTGTTCGCCGGGTTGGAACTCGTTCCAGAGGGCGGTAGTGGCGTTGTTGAAGGTGCGGTTTAGAGTCTCCATTTTGGGTACAGTACGCTTCTTTCTAGATGGGAGTGGAAGTCATGTAAGTTGGATTGGTAGTTGAGAAATGTGTGTGTATGTGTGTGTGAGATGTTTTGTGTGACCGAAGTGAAGTATAAGCTGGCGGTAGGCACTCAGTATAAGGTAACAGTAGCTGAAAGTGGAACCACCACCTTTCGAACCTCAGCTCAGTTAAATCCGGGGGCTTTTAACGTCCAGCACCGCTCCAGGTTGGTACGTCAGTGGCTCGACGACAGCTGGGTGGCCAGTCAACTTCACTCTGTCTACTGCGTACCGCAGATCATCGGCCGCGATGTCATCACTTCCCTCTGACGTCATCCAATGTCCTCCTCACGTGGTGAGGTGAACCGTGGCCAACTGGTCAGTATCCGGACAATCAACCCCGAAATTGGAGACAAGGTGGAGGACGACAAAGTCAATTGCAGAAGTAAATTGGAGGTATGAGTATCACTGCGGGCGAAGAATGTGTCATCTCACCCACATTCTTGGCTCATGTGGAAGCTATGAGTACTTTTGGGTAACACCCAGCCAGATCAACCGCCAACCGCCCCCAGTCAAAACAAGAAAACAGTCCGAACTAACCCGAACGATGCATTTAAAACACCTTAACTATCAAGGAAGCGAATCAAAATGCATGTATAAGAAAGAAAAAGCCCAGCGTCGCTGCAAGGGCTCCATCCACTCGGCCACTCCAACGGTCGTGGCGAGTTCCGTCGCAAGACCGCCGATAGTTCCGAGCTGATATACACGCTGAGATCATGTTGGGTTGCTCGCGTCCCCTGCGCTTTTGGCTTCGGGGTTCAGAGGGTTCTTCGGATCATAGCCAACGCTCTTGACAATTCCCAGACCCTTGGTCTTCCCCTCACGGAAAAGCACCCGATCTCCCGGGGCGAGGAACTCGGGGCGCTGGACAAACCGGAACGCAACCAACGCACGGTCTCCAGTCCGAATGAATGGACGATCAATGTCGATGACGGAACAGGTCTGACTCACGGCGCCTACGTGCAGCATCGCCTGATAACGTGGCTTGATGGTCGTGGCGTGGGAGAGGATAAGCACTGCATCACATCAGTAACGGCACAGCTTGACGAAAAGATGTAGACCCCCAACATACCTTCTGCAACAAATTCCCGGTAGACCTTCGGGGCCTGCTCCAATTTCTTGAGAACCACCATGCCCTTGCGGACTTCCTTTCTCCGAACGCGCTTCAGAGCAAACGAGCCGGACTGGCCGGCGAAGCAAGCATTCACCGGGATTCGCTTGCGCTCAATGGACTTGATCGTCGTCGTAGTGAACTGACCAAGCGAGTCGGGCCCGACCAGTACGGTGTCACCCGCATGAATCACCCCCGACTTGGCCACCCCAGACACGACCGTACCCACGTGGGGAACCGAGAAGGTGTCGTTGATCAAGAATTCAAACGGCGCATCAACATTGTAGTGACCCCGGTGGGGGAGAATGTTCAAGAAGGTCCGGACGAGGTCGAGATTCTCTCCAGTCACGTTGGACACCTGGAAGATAGGACATATCCGCTGGCTGACAAACTGCGTCGCCGTGTTGATGGTCTCCTCCATGTCCTTGATGAACACCGGAATCTTGCGCGCGCCCGGCGACTTCAGGATCTTGCTGAGCTGGGACAGCGTCTCCTGGAGAATCTGGGGCGGGCAGATATCAATCTTGGTGACGATGACCATGACCGGCACGTTGAGAGCCAAAGCAATGCCCAGATGCTCTTTGCTCATACCGATCAGCCCGTTGTTCGCGGCGACCATCAAAAGACAGTAGTTGGGGCTGCTGCTCAGCATGCCAAAGACCGTCGTCCGCAGGTACCGCTCGTGGCCCGCCAGATCGGAGAAGCCAATCACTTTCGCGGAGCGCTTCCCGATCTCCTCCCACGAGAGCTTGCGGCCCTGGGAGCTGCTGACGATATCGCCGCGACTATCGAACCCCATGATCTCCATGCCCACGGAGCTGGTCCGGCCGCTCTCGACCTCATGCTTGTGGCGGAACAGGTTGAGCCGGGCCTTGCCGCGCCCATCGTCCAGGTTCCCCTTCACGAGGACCCCGAGCATGGTACTCTTGCCGGCATCGACGTTGCCCACCACCGCCACGCGGATCTCCGCCATCTCCTCCACGGTGCCCGCCGGCTGCCGGATCAGGAGTTTCCCCCACGAGCCCTTGGTGCGCTCGTTCTTGACGCGCGACTCCTCGGGCCCGCCGACATTGTAGGTGACCAAGACCCGGCAGTGCGCAGGGAGCGTGTCCGCGGCCTCGCGCAGGCGCCGGATGGCCGTGTGCCACTGCGCCAGGTCGAACTGCATCGACTCGCCGCCGTCCTCGAGGCCCAGGTCGAAAAGCGTCTCGCCGTGGCCCTCGTCGATCCGGGACTGCAGCAGGCTCGCCAGCACCTGCAGGTCGTCGTCGGGCTGCTCGCCGGTGCCGAGAAGGACCTCCTTCAGCTTGACGGTCTTGGGCGTGTCGCTCAATGCCAGCTGGTCGAGGATGTCCAGCTCGGCGTGATCCTCGTGGATGCGAGAGACGCTGGCCGTCTCATATCCACTGTCGCTGGGCACAGGCGGGGCCGAGCGCTGGGCCTGCTGCTTCTCGGCGTATTCGGCGAACTCGCTGAGCGCCTGCGCATGAGACGGGGTTTAGTGTGAGACGGACGAAAAAGCAGGGGGCTGGGGAATTGCGCGGAAACTGCACAAACAACGCACGATTTCGCCTCTCCGTCGCTCCTCCAAGGTGAGTTTCGGTCCCGTCGGTGGCATGGTTGTAGGTTTTCCCTTTTTCTTTTCCGTCGCTGGAATAAAGATAAGAAAGGTATATTGGGAGGATTGAATCAAATACGTGTGTGTGTCTATCTGTAGCTAAAATGCGAATTATTGTTTCGGTCGGATGGAACGGACAAGGTTCGCCTCTGGCGCACTCAAACACCTATTCGGGTGATCATAATTCCCGTCTGAATAGCTAGGTGGAAGAGCGTCGAAGGACTGGGCCAGTAGTTATCGAGAGTGAATGATAAGGATGACCGATGGGAAGAGGACACAATAGGAAGAATAGGGTGTTTGATAGAAGCTAGGTAGATCGAGAGAGGTGAAGGGGAAAGAGGGTGATGGAGATGGACGGGAGGCCCGGGGAAAGCTTTATCGATAATCGGCCACCGACGGAGTGCGAGTCATCGCGCCGCCCGCCTCGTGCGGCTGTCTTGACTCATCCCCCGCTCTCATCACTAACTACTACTCATACCTGACTGCAGTCGAGTCATAAGAATAGAGAAGAAATCATTAGAATCATTCCAGCTGACGGGTGCATGTGTACATTTGGATTCTTTTGCATTCAGCACAATTACCACATACTAAAACTTAAAGTTGCATGCCAGGGCAGATGCCAGAACTTGTCCTCCTTAATAGTGGCGGCTGCTGCTGCTGCTGCAGTGCTGCATGGCATGATGCTCTTCATCCCATCCTGCCCTGTCCTGATCTGAAGCACGACCTTTTCCCACCTCTACCATCTGCCCAGAATATACATGTATAGTTCATTGCTTGCAATTAGAGTTATACGTCTGGGAACCCTGTAGCATCGCCTGGTAGTTCGTGGTCTCATACTGATCCGGGGCCAACATGGGGTAGCAGCGAGAAGATGTATACGCTGCATGGCCTTCCAAGCCCTCCGATCAGATCCATTGGTCCTTTTGTCTTTGCTCGGAAATTTCATCTCATCATGCTTGAGGGGAGATCAGAACAACCGAATCGCCTATGAGCAGGAACGTTAGTCGAAACGGCGCGCGCAAAAACTGTGTAGCCGACGTCATCGGGGAGAGAGAGTGTGTGTATATGTGTGGAACGCACCTCGAACGAAAAGCATTTCCTCCTGCTTCTTGATCGTCTAGACAGAAGAGATGCGAAAATGAGTTAGCCTGCGATCGCAACAATATGGCCAGCAGCTAGACACCGTGTCGGGCCCTGCAGGCAGTAGGAAGCGGACGTACTCGGATCGTCTCTTGTTCGTTCTCGTCTTCCTCGACCACGTAGATGGTTTCCTCCACATCACCCAGGACTAGGTTGCAGTGGCTATCGTAGGCCTATCGCAAGCGCGGAATTGATACAAATTAGTCGCCTCGAATTGACCTTGCTAAGCACAATACGGGGAGGACCTACATGGAGACGGCCCTTGAGCTCACGGTCACCGCGCAATTTCACAAAGACAATCTCATCGAGCGACAGGCGCACCAGGTCGAGGGGTTCGGACACCGACGAAGTGCCCGCATTCTCAGTGTCGGCCATCTCGAGGGAGGAGGTGGAGGAGGGATTGGGGGCGGGAGGATTGCGAAAGAGGGGAGGGGAGCGGAGAGGGAGAGACGAAATGAGTGAACCCAAGCTAAAGGTCGGGAGGCGTCCAGTCAAGATTCAAGCAATCAATGAAAGAGCTGCAGCAGGGGGGGGGGCAGAGTGAGAGATGGATTGGGCGACTGTGCGACTCGCTGTCAAAGTGCCACCCGCGGGAACATGAATGATCGTTGAGTGGATGGATGGATGTTTGAAAGAAAGAGACTGGCAGGGATTCTTTGCTTCCCGCCAAGACCACAACAACCGCCGACTCCTCAGTTTACTCCGCAACAGTTGAATGAATAAATGAATTATGAATATTAGCTGACCTGCCACCCCCTCTTCTCATTTCTTTCCCCAGAATCTGACCCCATGTTTTGTCTCAGCCATTCTCCTTTCTTGACAGTTTTCAAGCGCGATGTTGCGATTTCTACAACCAAGTGATCGTCTGTCTTGCACTCGCTTGGGGTTCTTGTCCTCTTATCGTCCTTCCCGGCCAACCAAGCTTCGCTATCCGTCTCCACTTCTCATACTTCGGAATCCTACGTGCCCGTCGAGATCGGTGAGAGTCTGGACTAGGCCGCCGACCAAAAGGAAATTAAAGCCAATTGTCAAGGAAAACTGCTTGGACAAGTACGACTACCGCCACCATGGGACAAGGAGTTCGACGGATTTGCTGGACATCGACAGTCCCCCAGAGAAACAACGCGATGATCCACTACGAGACACCTTGCAAACGGAGTTCATCTCGATTCTTCAAAGCGGCCAACCGGACTTGGTGATGAATGCGCTCACTGACCCTCGATTCAGCAGCCTGGTAGGAGCTATGCCAGAAACCACCTTCGTCGAGGCCTTCCTGCTTCTCTCCCCAGCATACTTCGTCGAGCCCCATCGAGAGATTATCCGAGCGCTCCATCCAACCGCGGAACGGAGCATGGATATCAAGCCATTGCAGGAAACCTTCGACGAATTCGCCAGCAAACTCGCACAAATAATTCGTCTCAGGGTTTCCGCAGGCCTGGCGGAGTTCACCCACCTGCTCGCTTGCGCAGCCGCCATGGGCGATGCTCAGATGGCACGCAGCGCATGGCAGGCCATGCAAGATTGTAATGTAGAGCCAGATACCCAGTGTTATAATCATCTCATGGAGGCCTTGATCTGGGACGGGACGTTTACCGGGATGAGAAAATATCGGCTGAGAGTGACCCGTTTCTCATATAAGATGCGAAAAAATGCGCCCATCGATTCAGGCTGGTCGGGATACGGCACCGCAGCACGCAGCGTGCTCAAGTCGGTACGAGTGATATTCGCGGAGATGATGGCCAAATCTGTCCCGCCGGATGAGACCACCTTTGTCAACATGATGCTTGCATCCTGTCGCACAGGCTGGGTTCCGGGGATCAAGGCTGTTCTGAAAGCCGCCTGGAACATAGATGTCGACGAACTGTTGACGGCAAGCGACCAGTCGGGAGCATCCGATATCTACCACACCGACCCTGCTTCATCCCTTCATCCCACAGGTCGACTTCTGTTCGCGGTAGCTCACGCCTTCGGAACAAATAACGAAATTCAAGCTGCACTTCATCTAGTGGAATTCATCGCTGCCCGTTACAATATACCCATTCCCGAGAAGGTTTGGCTTGAATTGTTCGAGTGGACGTTTGTCCTGTCACGTCGCAAATTCGGCCCCGACGCCAAGGAACAGGCGCACACGAGGGTAAAGCCACGTTTCGTGACTCAACTGTTCGATACGATGACCACAGATCCATACAACGTGAGCCCCACAATTGAGGCGCGCCTAAAAATCGCCAAGTTAGCGTGGGACAGTCGTATTCTCAAGAACTACATGCCACAAATGTATGCTTCATATGAGACCCTGATGGAGACACGTCAAGGGAGATGGGAGGCGAGGGCAGCCATCGCGGCGTTTATGAAGCGGCGCAGGCTACATAAAAGCCGCGCAGGTTGGCAGTCGCGAGACTTGGCCAACGCAATACACACCTATGATATCCTCAGACTGCACACAGCCCAACAGACTGAGCTGGTGAGAAAGCTCGCAAGAAACATGCTGATCAACAAGCTGTGGACGGGTCGAGACAACCCTGCATGGTTTAGGTCACTGTTCCCCGTAGCGCTGGAAGAGTGGCGCGACTTCCTCCCGGAGGATTTCCACTTGAACACTCGTGGAGGAGTAGTGCATTTCCATGGAAAAGTTCGCTGGGGTAGCCGGTACCGTTACAGCGGAAAGCGAATACCGATTCGGCGACCCACACCCTATAATGATGTCGAGCCGGGTGACGAGGACAATTATCTTGACGACGAGTTCTTCTGGGAAGCTCTTTTGCGTCTCGGGCCAGATATCGAGCCAAAGTCTGCAACCCTTAAGCGACTATTCGAGCCGGTTCTGGAGAAGTATCGTCCCGCAGAAGACGAACTAATCATGTTGAGCCGCAATTGAAACACAGTGCTATGTAGAACTTCTCACTGAGTCCTACAGCGAACTCCCCGCCTTGTCTGAAAATCGGGCCTGCTTAGAAGCTCTTTCTTTCTAGGCTTCAGACGCGTTTCCTAGCTTTATTCTTCAACAACCTAGTCCTTTTCGTACTGGTCTGGGCTGTATGATAATTCACGGTGCATGTGATTTGAGCGTTTTTCAGACTACCCGGTCCATAGTGACACGTTACGAGTTGTTTCCTGCTTAAGATCACCTTAGCCTAGTTCGTGAAAGAAGAGACTACCGACAAAGTCTTCACGTACCACGGGTGCGTCATACCTAAAACATCGATATTGATGACGGACCACTACTCCAGAACTTTTATGGCCTGGCGAGTATTAGGCTTGTGTGGATCGAAATATCTATACGGCCCGCATCCCCAGACGTCCCAGTATATAAATTTCGAGCTGTCGCTCAGATCTCCTCTCGCCGTAGATCATTTACCGCCATATAGCGTCCGATCGTAATCCAACCCCAACGGAACCACACCATCTGACTCTGATGGGCCTTGACCATAGCGGACTGGGCCGTCAACCACTCATTGACGGAGCTCACGAACAGAAGCCGAGAAGGGAGCTGATCCCTGGAGCCGCGGGCCCCGGAGCCCGACGTGATCGAGCTCAAGGCGCCCCGGACCATGGTGAAGGGCGCATCGAGCACGCCGGCGTACTTGCGCACGAGGTTGGTCGTCGTCAGCGTGTAGAGGGTGACCGGGCAACTGTACCCGGACTTGCCCTTGACCAGCGCGCGGAGGAAGTGCAGAGCCCCGTGGTACAGGGATCGATGGTTCGGGTGATTGCTGATGCCGCCCTGGTCGAACGTTACGAGCACGTCGATGGTCGCGGTCGGGGCCGCGCCTCCTGACTTCTTCGACGGTTCCGGCGCGAACGCCGACGCAAGGAGCGAGGCGACGTCGTTCTCCGTCCAGTGCGCGGTCATGCTGTCGGGGAATCGAGTGGGGTCGTCCACGACGTAGACGTCCGATTCGCTGCGCAGGCCGAGTTGTAGAGCGCTCTTCACGAGTTCTTTCTTGCGGATGTGTCCGAGCCCGTCTGCGTCGCCTAGATTGCACGGCAGGTTGACGGGTTAGTGGCTTGCTTTTTGTTGATGAGAGGAGTCTACCCGGGGGGGAGGGGGGGGCGTACCGGTACTAAGACAGAGAATCTTGAGATGATTGCCGTACTCCGGCTTGGTGAGGGCCAGAACGGTAGGCGCAAAGAACATGGCTTCATCATCGGGATGAGCAATCAGTAAGCAGATCCGTTTGTTGTAGATGCGAGGGAAGGCCCCAGCAAATGGCGACGACGTGGTCGAAGACAGGGTCCAGAACATGAACACGAACGAGATCGCGAGACCGATCGTGATCAAGGATGAGGTATTCATGGTGGGATATGTGATGATAGAACGATCCAGAGCGTCTTCTAGGTAATGAGTTGACAACGCTGCAAGTGGTGCGGCGCTGCGACTATTGGGTGGTCGATAAGCGAATGGGATCGGTTCTGAGGTGCTCACGGTGTCCCGACATCCAGACGTCACCTCACAATTCAACGCAATTGAGGCTTGTGCAAACGAAACCTGGGGCCTGGGTTCAAATTGATAAGTAGAGGTGACACTGAAACAAAGGTGCGTTCATCACCGCGGGAGTTGTTGCGCACATATGATACAAGGATGTAGTGTAGGAACAGGGGATCTCTCGAGTGTTGGGAAGTTCAATCGTCGATCGTCGGAGCTTCATGGAGCTACGGCACGTGACATTCTCGACAGCCACGACAGCCTTTATGCTGAAGGTACACCAATTCAATAGTAGAGACCATGTCGGAGATTTTCGCTGGCTTTCTAATGTCTGTAGTTTGTTAGATTTACCTTATTTGCCTTGACCAATACCTGGTAATGGAGTGTCTTCGAAATATCAGAATGACTATATATCATATGGCAGCCAAGCCGTAACCCACAATGACCTAAGATGTTTGGAGAAAAGTATACTCGAAGCAACGAACTATGATGCCATAAGCTCTCATGAACATGGAAAGCAGGTGCCATTTATCGAGTTGGATTTCAACAACTTATGAGAAGGTCAATACCAGCTGATCTGTGGAGGGATGTGCACAATCGACATTTGATAGCGGATACGATAGGGCTGACTGATGTTATTAGGACGACTACAGTTTGAAGACCCCTGTTTCTAGCTCGTCGACCTACCGTTGCACTGAATCAAGCCAACCGCGCCAAAGTCCTGGTTCCAAGATCCATATCAAGTAGACAGCCATATACATGAGAGCTGCGATGACTGATCAAACCATCATCTTATACGGTATGGTAGACCCTACCATAGAAACAGAGCCTTGGGTACTGCTCCGGAGTGTCGATTCTAGAACCTGTGTCAGAGACGTGCCTGCAGGGTTAGCCCCGTCGCATACGAATTGTCGGCGGTCAAAGTAGTCACACTCTCTGGTGGACCGGCAACGCGTCAATGTTGCAAATCCCTCAAAGGGGCGCTAAGACTCTGCAGTAATTCTTCACCTGCAGGGTCCTCTATTGGCACTACGTAGCTACGCATACAACAAACAGGGCGTATGTTTCATGACCATGGCCTTCAATCATGACCGAGATCATAAGATCCGCGCCTATAATGCCGTTAACTTAAGTTAGTCACACCGGCTGCAATAATGTTCAGGGCCGTAAAACTCAAGTGGCTGTGAGAATTGCCCCCCGGACAACGGTCCGCGCTGGTGGCAGCCCTGAACCGCAGTTACCACAGAGTTGCACCGCAATTCCGCGGACAGGTTTCCATGGATCTTCCGCGCCTCCCACCCTCCTCAATTCAGAATTTGAGAACCCTCCCGGGGAAACGATTGGAGACAGAAGAGGTCCGAGTGGGAATTTGGGAAAGGGTAGCATTCATTGTCCGCCGCGGCAGTCGCCGATGTCCTTTGATCTTCTCGGGTGGTCTAACCTGAAAATAAGAGAGCCCCAATGGTTGGCGCCGGCGGTCCGCTGAGGGCCTTGGAAGAGAATGGAGACCGGCAAGAAAATTTTTCTAGTCGTCTGAGGCGCTAAGCAGTGCTAGTGTTAAGAGTCATCACGATGAAGTGGACTCGAAGGCGACCGACCGGCAGCGATCCGGCTAGAGAAAATTGCACGCAGTCCGGCGCCCGGCTAAGTACGAGTAAAACCACTCACGCCTGTTGCGCTTGGAGGGGTTTGCCGTAGAACCGCCCAATGGAAGGGGAGCATGAACGAACATGCCTTCTTAAATGATGAACGTGCCTTGTAGTCGTCTATGATTCTGCAAAGAAATGGGGCCCAAGCTCTTGCACGACTCGCGAATGCTTCACAGGGGCGAAAGGTAAGCGGGCGTGCTGAAACTAAAAACAAGCTTGAAGTTGCGTGCTTGATTCAGAACTCCGTACTCCGGAGAAATCGCTGCATTCGATGCATGTATTGAGCAATAGCTGTCTGAAAGTTCGATGCTAAATCAGGTACGGAGTACCAGGACTAAAAGCTCGAAGGGGCGGCGAATTCCGCCCCCCCCCCCCCCCAAAAAGAGACATTGTCACGCCTGGCCCCGCGGGAAGCGAGGCTCGGAACAGGAGTTCCAGAGGTATGCGCAGTGTTAGGCCAACTACTCCAGAGTAGGTAATTGATGCGCCGGGTTGTTACCACCGACTACCGGCCGGTTAAGTGGCTGAATGGCAGACTCTGAGTATACCCTAAGCACAGTCAGAGCCAGGAGTCTTACAAATTAGAAAATCAAAGCAAATACCAAACACTTTAGCACCGAGTGAAGTGAGTTGGGCGTGTGAGGTTGGCCGTTATTATAGGGTAAGAAGGTGCCACTTTAAATCGACATACGAGATATGTCTACTCCACATACTATCAGTTGCGTGAGTTAAGGTGTGGTAGAGCGGAGACAAGCCCATTTACTTACTTACTCATAGTACTTACTCACTCCATCTCCAGCGCCTTGACATGCTGTGGCAGAGTAAGCGCAGTCGGTAAAATGGAAGAATGGATGGATTTATGGCGTGATCAATGTCGGCCACCCGTAGCAGTGACCGACAGCATGTGCCGAGATTCTGTCAATCGGGACGATCAATCGGATCAAGAAGACAGTTGAAGTTGGGTGTTCAAAGCCGAAAGTGCTCAGTTAAGGTACTGAGGTGCAGTAAAAGCCTGAAGTTGGCTCAGTTGATCCATCATGATGGAGAGCTTGCGAGCCTAAGGAGGAAACTGTTAGGTAATGGGTAGGGCGGCAGCCGCTGGCCATTCGCCAGTGGGACAGTGAAATTCCCCTGCCAACAGGACAGTGCACCGCGTCTAGAACTTAACTATATCTTTGATGTGGGCTTTTTGGTCATGTCATATTATCTGCTACGTACTGGTCTGTATATCGTGAAATCGTGATAGACAGTAGCACTGCTTTCAATCTCAACTCACCTAGCCAAAACCCCTCCTAGATAGATACTCAGGAGGTTCAATGCGCTGACCGGCAAGGATAGCCGGATGATGCAATGCCCCCGCAAAGGCCGGAATTATACTGCAGTGCGGGGAAAAAAAAGAACCATGCGCCCTCGGAGTGAGCTGATGCCCAGAAGGGTCTCTAGTACGTACTCCGTAGCGCACTAACTGCAGCGATGACTCGATTGTCTGCCATGTTCTGAAACTTGTCCCAAAAAGGTAGCTACGAGGAGAAGTGAATGGATTGAACCATATTGACTGCGCGCGACAGCACAACATCCGTCCACATGTCCCAAGTACCTTGTAGGGGATGATGAATTGCGACAAGGGGCATCAACCAAGGATTGGTGGGCGTGCTCCCCTTTTGACTTTTTATCCTTTCGAATTTTTTTCCCTTTTAATTTCCCTTTTTGTTCTTTTTCTTCCTTCTCTCGGCAAGTGGAGCTTTGACTGAAGTGAACGGGATACTCGTACACAGCACACACATCCATCATTATTGTACTCCGTACTCGATTTAGCTCTTCCCGAGGAGAAGAGAGTCCGCAAAGAATTTTCCTCTGAGAAAATCCCTAATCCGTGCGCGCAATGCTTGGGTCTGATGGGGCTAGCTTACCTTCTTTTCAGGCCTTGGTTCTGCCCTTCCATTGTTTTTTTGGCGCAAAAGTGCAACAGCGGCAACTTGGATCCAGAGGGATCTCCAATTAGCGTTGCAATGGACTGCTGTACGGTAAGGTATAGCCGATTGATACGGGTCGTCACCGCCTGTATTGAGGATTGAGACAACAAACCAGACCGCCTTGAGCCCGCTCGGCCTCGCACATCAATTTGTGACGCCACGTGATGGTTCGATGACGGCAGCTGACCTTGATGAGCAAAGGAAGCGCCCGTCAGGTGTGATGATCCGGTATTACGGACTACTACTCAGGTAAGTACTAGGTAGGTATGTTACTGCTCTAGTAACTTCCACTGCAAGCTGAATGCAAGCTGAACGGATAATCGGTACTATTCCACACATGGCTGGCTCAATGATCTGTCATTCTGTTGTCAATTCTCGGGATCTTACCCGATGCTACTGTACTGTACTTCCAGACTTCCAGTCGACCTAACGTCCTTCACCCGTGGGGTTTCAAAGCCACCATTGGTAATTCAGATTGGGGGATATGACCCGGTCTCTGACCGTGGTCACTCCTGGCTTCCAAGTATAGAACGCCTGATGGGAGGTGTCTAGAACCTGAGTCAGCAGTTCCATACTGGACCCTCGGTTCGATTCTGGAACAACTGACATGACAACATTCTCCAGCCATTTGACATTATTCCACATCACCACCGATCTCATGGATTGCGTGTAACCCGCTAAGATGATGTTTCTTGCGCGTGCAGAATTGCGCAAACGGAGATTCGGGTTGGATGATCTACATCGGAGAAAGCTGTTCGTTGCTAAAGTCTCAAGCCCGGCCCTAGTGTGAGTCATTGCGCCTGACCACCCCCCTCCATTTACTGTACATTGATGAGAGCATCGTTCTAGGAAGGACATTCCGTGCACTCCAGAATAGATTGCTTAACAACACATCAAGTCATTTGATGTAGGAGAAGGTTCAATCACTCTGGCATCAACAACCTGCGTACCGGTACATAGCGCAGCGCAGAGTGATATGCATTCATCACATGCTGCCAGGGAATTGTAGTCAATACAGGATACGCGCCATCCAGAATGTTTGGACGGGGGGGGGGAGCTAGAATTATTTGCCCTCAGTCTCTGTGAGCTTTGGAAGTTGAGACCGATCTTGAGCATACTCAAGATCTGGGGAAGCAATTCCGAGTAACCTCAATTCAACCACACCTGACTAAGGCAATTATTTCATCGATTACGCAGGACAAGCTGCAGATAGAATCATTGATTGGCCACTGGTTGTTCTAGAATGAGCATGTGCCCACAGTCGTCCGAAACCATCACGCAAGTTACTTTAGCTAAGCTATGATGGTTTTGTAGAGAGAAAAAAAAAAGTCAAAAGGCGGCCAAAGAAATCGCGGTGTGAAAACATGGAGGTTGAAGAAACCAGACACTCAGGGCTGCCAGGTGCAGTCGCTGCAGTTGCCCTCGGGGAATTATTGGTGCAACGGACAGGTACTGTACCTGTAGGGGAATTAAATGGCAGGGCGACCAAGCCTGGAGACTTTTGGCGCTTTCCGTCGGAGACAGCCGTACGGTCATGTATGGAAATGGTAATGTAAAGTCCACTATGACGCTTTTTCTGCCGTGCCCCACCAAAACTCCATCGGCCGCCCGATGCGATGGAGACACTCAGGGTGGCCAGACCAGGGAATCAATCGTACCTGTTACATGGTGTGGGAACGCCCTAGAAACAACCACCACGCTAAAAATGAAAAAAAGGAGAAGAGAAAAATAAAAAAAATTCAACAATAGGAAAAGGAAAAAAAAAAAAAGGAAAATGAGTCCTTTGGAGGGGTAGAGTACATCTGGGTTGCAAAGAATAAAACATAGAGCTTGTCCTGCTTCATTCAAAGGCAGCTACTCTCCCACCTTTTCTTGCCATTCCTCTGTTTTGCTTGATAGCCTACTAGATCTACTTCATTTTCTCCTTCGGTTACTCAGATATAGACTACTACAACCTACCTACCTACCACCACCACCATCACAACACGATCCAAACTCTCCACTACTCGTGTACATTTCATCTGCTACCTCTACCCCTCACCGTCTCAAAGAAACTTGAACTCTTGACTGTAGTCAAAGGTTCTTTCTCATAGGTTCAAGATTTAATTTCAATCGCAAGGAGATTATGTACTTGACAATCAACTCAACCTTCCCAATTGCGCCGTGATATCGAGACCCCTTCACATACATACACTAGTCTGCCACTGCCAGTCTGGTCTTACTGCATCGTGGACCGTCAATACCTGACATCCATTGCTCCCTGAGCAACACATTCCATCTTCTGTGCACTCGACACTTGTTACTATACTTAGCTACCAAGGTTCCAACCCAGCGCATCCACATCACCCTGTGAAACTCGCCACCATGCCTGGTCGTCTACTTTCCAGCTTTGTCCGCCCTTCCCTCTCCCACCACTCATCCCACCATTCATCCGTTGCGCACTCGAACACTTCGTCTTCTTCGTCCGTGAATGAGATCCCGAACACCACTGTGGCATCGAAGAAGCCATCCACCCATCTGTCCGCTGACCGAGCTCGCTCACCTGAACGCCGGCTATCGTTGGCGATGGAGCATCTGATCCATCCTCACCGCGATCACAGCAAAGAGAAGCGACGGAGCCATGGCCGCTCAGCTCGTTCAAAGGAGCGTGCCGCCCATGATCCCAGCGCCAACGCCTCTGCGAAGCTCGATGTTATCGTTGAATCCCCGCCGCTCGTCTGTTACGGGAATCCCGCCAACTCAACCGGCGCCTTGTTCTCCGGACGCCTGAAGATCAGCATCTCTGAATTAGCCGGCATGATCACGCTTGACACCTTTGATATGCGTCTCATGAGCAGACAAACGACCAAGAAACCGGTTTCTAGAGACTGCCCCAACTGTGCCTCGCGAACTGAGGAACTGACACACTGGAACTTCCTCACCGAGCCCCTCGCCCTCAAGAGTGGTGACCACGAGTTTCCGTTCAGCTACCTAGTCCCCGGCCATCTGCCCGCCTCGTGCAACGGATCGTTGGGTCAGATCGAATACTTTCTCTCTGCGCGTGCTCACAGTATCAACGGAGAGGAGTTCACCTACAAGATGCCTCTGCACATCAAGCGTGCCATCCTCCCCGGCAACGACAAGTCCTCCATCCGTATCTTCCCTCCTACCAACCTTACCGGTCGTATCGTCCTTCCATCCGTTGTTCACCCAATCGGTACCTTCCCTGTGCAGATGACTCTTAGCGGAGTGGTGGATAAAGGCGAAGAAACCCAAACCCGCTGGCGCCTGCGCAAAATGATGTGGCGGATTGAGGAACACCAGAAAATTGTCTCTGCAGCCTGCTCCAAGCATGCACACAAGATCGGAGGCGAAGGCAAGGGTGTTCTTCATCAGGAGACCCGCATCATCGGTCACAACGAAGAGAAGGATGGCTGGAAGACAGATTTTGATACCGCCGGCGGTGAAATCAGCATGCAGTTCGAAGCCAGCATCAACCCATCTTGCAACCCAGTGTGCGATCTCGAAGCTTCGGGTGGCCTGGAAGCTCGTCACAACCTTGTCATTGAACTGATCGTCGCCGAAGAGTTCTGCCCCAACCGCAACACGAGACTCATCACCCCGACTGGAGCAGCGCGTGTTCTGCGCATGCAGTTCCACTTGCACGTTACGGAACGCAGCGGGCTGGGTATCAGTTGGGACGAGGAGATGCCACCGGTCTATGAGGATGTTCCTGCCAGCCCCCCCGGTTACACCATGCTAGATGGAAGCAGCATCATGGAGGACTACCATGGATCTCCCCTGCACCTTCCGGAGTATGAAGAACTGGACCGCATGGAATCTCTGCGCTTGGATAGCGACTCCACACATTCTTCTTCAACCAGGGGACGATCACGCCTTACACCCGATGACTTCTCTGCCGAGCCATTGACTTTTGAAACGACAAGCCGAGCTACGTCTGCCACCGAGCCTTGAGCGTCGGCTAATGCCATTGCCTCGCACAATTTTTACACATACAACTTCAACATTGGTGTACCTCCAACACCGACCTTTCATGAATTTATGACTGCTACGAATTCAACGATTTTCACCCCCCCCCGAGGACGTCCTTGTTCTCATGCACTCTCAACAGTTCCGCGAAAATTGGAAGTCCAAGCTCTCACCACCTTTCCCCTAATTCTTAATTGTTTCATACCATGGAGGAGAAAACAAAAGTCTGCTGATAGATTCTGTATTGCTGGGTGATTTCTGTGCTTGCATGATACCCATTATTTTCGTCAAGTCCGAACATTTTCATTTGTCTGTTTCTGTTACTGGCATCATACATACCCAGGTACATACACTTTGTCGCTATGGTGAATTCTCTAGAATAACGATTATGAATGAACAAATTGAACATTCAGATCTATTTACCCAAATATTGCGGCGTAGAGCAAAATCCGTAAATCAAAAGTGAGCTAAACGTACGATGATGGGTTATCTGGTTGCCCGAGGACTACCTTGCATAGTAGGCTGGTTGCAAAAGTGGTCTTGAACTCCGGCTCTAAAAAGCGACCAGCTGAATCCTGACCCCATAGGCCAGGAGACGATTCCGGCCTGTGATGGTAAACACCCAGGCTGGGACTGAACTGATTGTCGTACGAAAATCTAATAATGTGGGAGCGTAACTGCAAGTACCCAGCGGACTGCTACATCGAATCCCTGCCGGCCGGACAGGCACATGAAACACCGCGCGCATCTTTGGAATGTTTGCATACAATGCCCGTCTCCCCCCAAAATCAAGGCCAACGGCATCACTTCTTAGACTATCTCTTGATCCTAACTATATACAGTGACGAAGTCCCCCCCAAACATGGCTTGACTTCGTCTGAATCCATTTCCCCGTTTCTAGCCCCCCCCGGTTTCTGACGCCCTGACAATCTCAAAGAATCCCCAACGCCTGCGGCATTCAATCCCGGCACCTTGCTCGCTAGTATATACACAGACAGAAAGACCACACGTGGTCGGTCACGAGTCGAAGATAGGCCCGAACGCCGGTATGCCCCTCGATTCCAATTCATATACCACCTTCCTGGTGAACACGGGGTTGCTGATCACACAGACAGCCTCGGCATCGAAGTCCTGCACGATCCGCCGGATCATCGGGACCAGATCGACGCGCCCGGACTGATTCGTGTCGACCACCACGGGGGTGGGGTCCATCATCGACACCAGATCCAGCACCCGCTGCCCGTATGTCTTCAGCGGGGCGCGCGTCTGCCAGACCACGCGGAGCGCGGGGCGGTGGTCGTCCCCGAGGAAGGACAAGCAGGGGCCGATGCCCGAGCCCGTGGTGACCACGACCACGCGCGTGAAGACGCGCATCGCGTACGCGAACCCGTACAGGAGGACGCCGCGCTTCCACAGGTGCGTGGGCGGGTCCTGGATGCAGGCGGCCGTCCAGTCGCCCGCCTTGGACACCAGGCAGGAGAAGCTCCGCCCGCCGTCCGGGTTCGGGAACGTCGCGAACCCGTGCCAGTCGCGCAGCGGGTGGCGCGCCAGCTGGATGCCCTTGCCGAAGGTGGTGGTCGTGTGGCTGAGATGCAGCCGCACGGCGTGCGAGGAGAGGGTCTCCGGCTGCACCGCGACCTTGCGCAGGAGCGTCCACGGGTGCACGATGGCCACGACCGTGAGCACCAAGAACCAGAAGGCGGGGAGCCTCGCCAGGAAGGGTCCCAGCGGCTCGTTCGACGCGCGGCTGACCTCGTCGGCGAAGACCATCAGCAGGATCACGAAGAGCACCACCACCAGCCAGCCGAAGAACCGGTGGATGAGCTCGAAGTAATCGTGCTTCTTGATGCGGAACCCCGGGTAGGCCACGACGATGATGGCGAGCAGCACGACCAAGATCAAGTATGCCAGGATTACCGGGGCCACGGAGATGGTTGGCCCGCCTGATGAGGAGGATGGTGAGGGAGACCAGTACTCCCGTGATAGGAGGCCAACAAAGCCGGCATACCAGACGAATGAGGCTATCCCGCACCCGCTGTGGACGCCACCATAGTGGTATACCTTAGCTGCGATGCGTCGTATCCGGAGAGGCGCTGACCTCGGGATGGATGCCACGATAACAAAGATCGAATTCACCACCAAGGGCTGCCGTGCGAGGCCGCATGCAAGCAGGTTACCTGCTGCCGCGTTTACCAATGCTAGTAACTTTCGATCCGTCGCCATGACTGCAACGAACACAGCTACATTGGCCAAGAAGACCAAGGAGAACAGGCGACGGTATATGTTGAGGAATATGAACCGAATCGCAGCGAATTTGCGCTTCTTTGGGGCTTGAGCTTCGAGGTCAAGAGATCCATCTTCCGAGTCACGATATCGGGACACTTCCGCTTTCTCTGAGAAGACCTTGATGGTGGAGTCTTCTGTGAATGTCGATGAAGTGGGACTTTGCGGACCTGATGCATATACCACTGCCGGTGGTACCGTTATTGTGCTCTTCACCTCACACGACATGTTGCTTCGAATTGGTCCTGAAGATGAGATTGAAGGTTGACAAGAAGCTATCATGAGTAAGATCGAGGGGCAGACGCATGTAATCTTCAGGAACGAAGCGCCAGATGCAAGTTGGGGAAAGGAAGCTGCAAGCAGTAACGACAATGACTCGATTGGTCCCAATGGGCGCATGATTGTGATCCACCATCAACCTGCATCTCACAGCGACGGGTACAGACGTCTTTTGAATCCTCATGCATGACGACATCTGACCTTGATGCAGCCTGGCTGTTTCCCTCAGGGTGGGCTCACATTGAACATCGGACGATATCTCGGCTGCAGACCACGGTATCTTGTCTTCAGCACCTTTCATCATACCGCATGCGGACCACCTCGGCATCTCAGCTTCGCCTTTCGCCTCGATATCGTGATTTCAGCCTCCGTGATGCCGGCACTATTTGAGGGGGAACTTGTTCCGTATCCTAGATCCGAGATGGATTTACCAATGAACACTGGAGAATGGTATCAATCCTGCCACTCCTCAGCTGTTCATTCTCCGAATGTGGAAGTCGAGGGGCCAATGGATGGCTCCTCCACGAGCGAATATCCCGTCCCCGTGCCGTGGTCGATGATGACGACTTGATGGAACGGTCTAGAGATGCGGATGCACCAGCTTGAGCACGTTCAGTGGCTCCTGCAGGCCGGCCAGGGTTTCCTGATCGACACTAGCACTGATGTCTTGGACTCAGGCGCCAGAGGGCTTGCCACCAAGATTCGAATTCTCCACCGATCCACGCCTGAAGACGAAGAGGGTTGCATCGATAAGCGGACAATCCGTGCCCTGGAAGTGGACAGGGTCTGTGGAGTTGCATGACCCGACAAGCTCGGCAAGCATAGCGTGGCCCATGCAGCAGGCGCAGATTGCTTGCTTTTCCTTCGTTTGGCCAGTTCAGAGCGAGGTCGATCAGTGATAGAGTGGCCCCGGCAGGGCCACCTGAGTCTCCATCCTGATGAACTAGTGTGCTCAGATACATAGGCAAGGAGATCCCGACGAGTCACTTGGTGGCATGGCCACCCACTGCCCCTGCTCGATTTAGCGGGCGGGGTACTGCCTCTTTCGGGCCTTCGTCCAAGATGTCAAGTCCATCATGTAATGGCTTGTCATGCGCGGTTTTCTGGGATCCCGTTAAGAAGACGTCAGCGTGGCATGGGTGACTAGAGCAGTGGGGTCGCGTCTGCATGCTGGGCGCAGGGTCGAGCGCGCCAGATGACGGGCTAATTCAGCAGGGCCAGGACCAAGCCTCCATAGAACCGTGGGAGTAGTTCGGGGAGGGGGGGATGCGTTCTCAGGACGGCAGATCCAACCGGGGGTTCAGCTGCAGAGGGAGCACCTGAAGAGAAACGATGGGGCTTGATTGACAGGACGAAGTACCAATCAGAGTGCGCTGCCGACATGGTTCAGATCAAGTCCGACTGAGAGATGGCTCAATATTGGTTTAAGTTATGGAGTATTGAGTTGATCATGGATCTAATTCGTCGGCACGACGGGGAGATGTTCGCCAGTGAAGTGGGTGAAGTGCATTCTCTCGAGGATGAGAGATGAGCGAGGGACCCACATGGCCGCGATCTGAATCGACATTGACATGCTAGCAGCTGATAGACTAGCAGCCTAGCTAGCTACGGAATACTTACTAGCAGTGAGCAGTCTAAGCGCAAAGTATGATCCGTCCGTGGGCCCGGAAAGAGGATCAGCAATCCGATCTTAGCGGAAACTCGGTGTCGGTGTCGGTGCAGGTGCAGGTGCAGTGGGTGACGATGTGTCGGGATCTGAGATGGAAGGAAGCGCCACTGAGCCACTCTCTGCCCTAACTGGAGTAGTAAGTATTCCAAATTCCAAATCACCCAAACCCCCCCCCCCATTCACCTCACTCACACCAAGACTCAGGAAACTGGAATTGTTCTTCGAGACACTGCAAATTGTCAACCCTTTCACTTTTTCTGAAACCCGCCAGCATGACAAAAAGCATATTTGTTGAACACCATGGAGATTCTATTTATCGCCCTGGATCTCCCGTGGTCGGGGTGAATTTCTCTCACTATTCTTGTGTATCATCATCATTATCATCATCATCATCATCATCATCATCTACTCTCCTCCCTACTTGAGCTTAATAGTCTCAGCTATCGACATACTACTTATCTTCTATCCGACCACACTGCCCCCGCCGGTCCTCTGTGCCCACTTGCCTTGCCTGCCTGCCTGCCTGCCTTGACCGAAACTCCTTTGTCAATTGCATTCCGACGCGATGGGTCTCTGGGAGTCGTCCTTGGCGCACCCCAATCTGGGCCAGCACCCATACACCGACTTGTTGACCTTTGCTTTCCGCAGCCCCTACCACTACGACCGCGAGCGTCCATTGTTGATCGATGCTGAGAATCCTTCGCAGTCTTTCAATGCGCGGCAGTTTGAGATCCTGGTTCGCACATTGATTGCAGGATTGAAGGCCCATGATGTGCAGCGAGGGGATTGTGTGCTGGTCCACCTGGGAAATAGTGTAAGTATGCATGGCGATTTCCCCTTTCGTTGTTCGTTCGACACCGATTCTAGTCCCCTGCCCTTCACTCCTCCCTACCCACTGTTCCAATTGGAATCGATTCTTTTTTTTTCTTTTTCTTTTTCTTCTTCTTTCTTTTCTTTTCTAAATAAAAAATTAATCCTTTCCGTCCGAATCAATCTACCCCCCTTATACCATGCTGACTCAATGGGGTAGATCATATACCCCGCACTCTTCTATAGTATCATCGGCGCTGGCGGCGTGTTCATGGGGACCAACGCACGAAGTCAACCCCAAGAATTAGACCATCTGCTCGAGCTGGCCGAACCCAAATTAATCATCACCTCTCGCGATGCCCTCCCCACCGTGCTCAGAGTCTCGGCCGACCGGGGAATGCTGCCGAGGCAAGTCTGCCTATTGGATGAGTTCGCAGGAGACCACATTGGCCAGCTCCTGCTCTCAGGGCCCTTGGCCTATGCGGCCGCAAGCGCTCCGTATCTCGCGACCAGCGAGGATGGCGCCTACCTGAGCTTCGCTCATCTCCTCGCGTACGGGGAAGATCATTGGCTCACCTTCCATGACGAGGTGATTGCCAAATCCACGCCGGCCGCGATGTTCCCCACCAGCGGCACCGGGGGGTTACCCAAGGCGGCGATTCTGTCGCATCACGCTATCATATCCCAGCATCTGAGCATCCAGTACGAGGTTCCCTACGAGGTGACGCGGTTAATGTCCCTGCCCATGTTCCATCTGTTCGGGGCCCTGTGGACCCACCTGTTCCCCATTCGCTACGGACAGCCGTTGTTTGTGCTCTCGCGCTTCGAGCTCACGCAGTTCGTCGCGGCGGTGTATCAGTATCGCATATCCGAGACCTACATGGTTCCCGCCATGATCCACGCGTTCAATCGCTCGACCATCCCGGCTGCGGGCTACTTGTCGTCGTTACGCTATGTGGGAGTGGCCGGCGCACCCATCGACGGAGCGTCCATGCAACAATTCCGGCAACTGCTCCATGAGGATGCGCATGCAGCGCAGCTCTGGGGGATGACCGAGGTGGGTGTGGTGTTCCAGAACCGGTACGGAGAGCTAGGCGACGCCGGAAGCATCGGAAGGCAACTCTCTGGCTACGAGGTCCGCCTGGTGGGCCAAGATGGCGAGAGGGTCGCGGAGGAGAACAAGCCTGGGGAGTTGTACGTGCGTGGGGCGGGCCTGTTGCTGGGGTACAAGGGCCGAACTGACGCCAAAGACACGCATGGTTGGTTCCGCACCGGGGATGTGGCTTATGTCAGAGACGGGGTCTACTACATCCACGGCCGCACGAAGGAGCTGATCAAGGTCCGAGGGTAAGCTCTTTCTTCCTGCCTCTCTCTAATCTGTCAGATCCTAACCCAAACTGGAACCAGATGGCAAGTCGCGCCGGCCGAACTCGAGGCCATCCTGCTCCGGCACCCTGGCATCGAGGATGCGGCGGTAATCGGGGTTACATCGCACGACGGCAGCACCGAGCTCCCGCGCGCCTTCATCGTGCGGGCGAAGAATGCCGCCGGCCACCGGCTGACGGCGGAGGAGGCGTACTCGTTTACGCGGCCGCAATTGGTCAGCTACAAGGCGCTGGACGGGGGCATTCTCTTCGTGGAGGAGATCCCGCGCACGGCGAGTGGGAAGATCCAGCGGTTCAAGCTGGCGCAGATGAACACTTATCGCGAGATTGTCAGCTCGCTGCTGACGCGCTTCCAGGGCGCTAGTCTCCAGTCGGTCGGGATCATGCATAAGGGCCGCCTTACGGTTTGATTGTTGGGGCCATGTACAGTACCCCTCTCTTTTTTGTTGGTGGGTTTGGCGTTTGCGGGTTGTTCGCTGGATTGGGGATGGTTGTCCTCTGGATGGGGATGGGTTGAGGCGTTCTTGAGATTGCACTAAGTGACTATATCCGATATTACTATACAGATGAGGGGTAGCGACCTTGCGGTTGGACTATACACAACCTAACAATCTAGCTTATCACAATCATTGACGAAAAGTGTACTGTAGCTTGTTGTCACAACGGCTGCTTAGCTTTGATTCGCGAGAGTCGTGGAATAAGCATACCGAATTTCCGCTTGATGTTACACAGTTACACAGGGGTTTTGGTCTGGGGTTGCACTGCAGAATAACTCAGTGAAGACACGCACCAGCTGTCATGCCTCGTATCTCGTAACCGGAAATGATACACAGGTGCTTACTCACATGGCGTCCTGGTCGCTGCCAAGGGCCAAGGAAGGTGGATTGTTAGGCATGCGCAGGTGCATATCTTACCTACATCTACCAAGCGGGAGGGAAGAGGAGGGGGAGGGGATAAGCGCAAGGTGATTCAGGTACAGGACTGTCACTACATGCATGGGTTAACTTGCTCACCGAACGGGTGGGATTGAAATCTGGATCCTGGCTGCACGTCTTTTCTCGTTGGAGTTGCAGGTTTTGGATTTTGGTTGTATGGTACTGGACTTACCACGCACTGAAGAAGGATCGCGGTGTGGGAAGGAGTTGTCTACTCAGTACTCAGTAAGTAAGTAGGTAGGTGGACAGGAGCATTACTCTAGCCCAGTACCAACCAACCAGGTCATCGATTCCGGCAGCCAGGGTGGGTGGTATCAGTCGTTGACATGCCATGAGATGACAGGACATGACATGACATCCACCGCTTCTGGCTCTGCTTCTGCTTCTGGCTCTGGTTCTGCTTCTGGCTCTGGCTCTGGTTCTGGTTCCAGGCTTGCATGCACATGCACAACTGACTGTACCATGTACGGTACTCATAGCAAGAATTGGAATTACCCCACAATCTACTCGCTCTGCTCTGCTCACTCTGCCTCTGCTTACAGGTCTTCCTCGCTTAGTTGCTGTTGGTGGATTGATTGCCTGAACTAGCTGACCGGTTGATAGGTTAGCTACTCCGTAAGTGATGGCCCAAGCAGCCCTGCAAACAGTTTTCTTTGTTTTGATTACCCAGGGTTTTGTTTGCCACTGCAGAAAGGAGTTGCTTTTTTGTGCCTGATGGCACAGGAGGACCGGGCTGGTTCGCAATCTTCACGTCTTGATCCCCTTCCCCCTTCCCCTTGCAGATTGTGGTGTTTGTTTCTTGGATGGAGGAATGAGGGGGAAGGGGGTGTTGCTTATCGTGCTGCACGTAGGGCCTTCAGGTTTGGTCTAGATGAATTGAGGGGCTACTACTCTACTCCAGTCTAAGAGGTAGTCAGAAGTTAGCGTGCGGTCAAGATCATAGATAGATATCAGTGGATTCGAGGCTGGAATAGGTGGGTGGGTGGGCTGGTGCCCTTCTCGACCGCGGGGACTCCATACTCGGTCCAAACTGGAGGTCTCGAGGTCTCAGTGCTCGAGGGCGTCCAATCAGCCCCCAAACGCTGAAAAACATCTACCTAGTAGTAGATTATCTAGACGCATGGAATCCAGGTTGTCATCTGGTCAGACCGGGACGAACCGCATGGACCTCACGAACTGCTTGCTGAGGCGAAGGGTACTCTCGTGTTGGACGAGTAGGGCTGGCGATTGTCACTGGCCGCGATAATCCATCCATCCAGTTCTGCAGCGGAGAATTCCAGCCAGATCACCCTCATCAACAATAGACAATGGTGCAAGCAAGGGATATTGTCCGAGCCCGAGAATCGGCTCAGCTGAAAACACCCCAATTGTGTGGAAGGCGCAATGGGGGAGAGTTGATGGTGAAGGTGTCCTACCGACTAGTGCCCCAATAGTTCGTGTCTAGTTCGGCCACGACCACCTACCTCATCTAGAACCGTTCTTTTCCTGCGCCACACACAGCCCATAACCTGCCTCGTGCCACAGCGGAGAAGACAGCTAGCTAGCTGATCCTCCGTCCTGCGTCCCGTCCAGCTCGAACCTCTCCGTAACTTAACTTACTCCTCGTTCCTTCGATCCTGCGGTCCCGGCGGGCGTCGTCGGCTAAATGGAACGGACTCTGGGAAACTCTGGGAAACACATGGCGATGGCAATGGCAATGGCAAGGAGAGACTAACTACAGCCACTGGTTCTTAGTGCCTTGAATCCAGCCAGCCAGCCCAATCTCTCGCGGTTCAACTAATCCGGACAATCGAATTGTCTCTCTCGAACCGGCCGCATTCGGAAGGTCACATACGCCGACTACCACCTAGTTACTAGGTAACTTAATTATTTGATGAACTGGCAATCCCTCCGCTGTCATCTTGCTGCACCCTTTCCTTGGTCCTAGTTCTTTTTCTTTTCATGAATCATTTCTTTTTGACTATTCTTTCCTTTTTTTTTTTTCCGTATTTTTGCTTTTGTCGGATCTTCGCGCCCGTTCTTCCGCCAGCCTCTCAACCAGATGCCATCATGCTCGGCGCCTCCCACTAAACAAAATCCAAAACAAAATCCTGCTCGCGAGCCTGTGGTCTGTCCGTCCTCGACCTCACTCGGAAGGCCAAGTCCAACGCGCTGGATTCGAATTCCAAACCGACTTATCCGGTTTGGGGATGCAGCTCCGTAGGCGAGCGCCAATGTCCATGCAGCGTAAAGTCATGGCTTGCTCGAGGAATCCGCCCAACATCAACATCACCCAGCGTCATGATTGCCCTCGCCCGCTGATCGGCCTTGTCGTATGGGGACCGATCGTCCCCTCCGTCCGGGCGCTAACTTCCAACTCTACTTACGCGGGCTATGGCATTCGAGTTCGCTTCAGCTTTGCAGGTGTACATTCAGTGCAGTGTAATGCAGTGCATACCTGCATACTTGCAACCAAGGAGTGCAGTTTATGTATGTCAGAGCCCTTGCGCGCGAAGCCTGACCCTGCATCTGACAATTGACAAACTCCATGCCAATTAGTGACGGGTGACATCAGCAACTGAAAAGCTCCAGCTTGTCACTAAGCTACATAGTACGTCCATGCTCCGGGCACAGGGTCAAACGGTAAGTCGTAAGTCGGTAGTTGCGCTGCATTATCCGAGTAGGAAAGGCCTTGCCTCAGGCTCGGTCGCTCACTTAGATGTGACTGCCTGAATCTCCCCTCCGTTCGATTCGAGTGCCCCCTGTTTTCGTGATGCCGGTCCTGTCTGCCTCTCCTCAGACTAATGCACCACCCCTGTCGATTGCTACTGGTGCTGGGAACTGGTTCCCAACGCTGCACCTGCTCGAGGTGCGCAACGGTTTCCTGTGGCGCTGCAATGCCACGTCAACACGCCTGTAAGGGAAACGGGGGCGAGAGGCGCATCGTTCAGCGAACGCTCATCCGGTCAGCCTGGAGGCGTGGCTCGCCAACCGTCTTTGTTCTCCCATGCCACGAGCAAAGACTTCGGGTAGGTAGGTCCCGCAACCGTGACCTTGGCGCAGCTTGGGCAGGGCTCAATGCCTAATGCTATAATTCGATTTTGGCCGCTTTCGCAATCGTTCGCTGCTATCCTACTCTTCTTAATTTTCCCCCCTGTAGGGACGGATCTCATTTGTCGCTTTGTATCTCAACTAGCTCGAAGCGAAGTTACCCTAAGCTCGTCGGCCGGATCAAGCCCCATCCGTTGCCTTCACATGTCATCGTATGCTGGGTACAGTGCGAGAGCGAACCATTGGCGGATTGATGTAGGATGAAGCTCGGTTCAGATTGCTATAGAGCCTGCACCTTCGATATTGGGTGCAATGTGACACAGTATGCCGTGCTGTGATGAGGTGCAAACCGATGTCGTACAACCCTCGCATAGCGCGCTTACTCCGTATGCAGACCGTGTAGACGAGCAGAGGGTGGTCGAGTATCTGCAACCACGACGTTGCGGGCTCCATGCTTATCACGCATGGCAAAGGAGCTCAACCCCTGCATCGTGACAGGCGCCATCTGAGATGCATATCCCCCTGGGTCTTGCCAAGGAACTGTTGCACAAGCGACGACCGGCTCGTCGCGGTGCGGTGACCAAGACTGCCCGATGCCTTGGAAGTGTCTCGTCCCAGGATATGGATCCTTCATGCGGCGAGGAAGATGAACCCCCTTCTTTCCACATCCTACGAGATGGGGGATGAGTGACGGAGTCCAGTTCCCTTGGAACTGGAACCGTAGACGGACGAGCAACAGCCCGCCGCTCTCGCTCACACACTCACAACCAGCCCCTCTAGATCAGAGAATCCCATACCCCATCCACCAGACGCCCCAAACCAACGGGCCCAGCGCCCCCAGCACAGCAGGTCCAAAGGACATCTCCAACACGCCCCAGATCCACATGGTCCCAAAAGCCGGCGCCTGCTTCATGACAGCGTAGTAGGGGTCCTCGTTGGTCATGACCATCAACCTGCACCCCAGGAAGACGGTCAGCGGGAGGAAGACGACGGTGCGTAGGCTCGGCGGGAAGAGGAGGCGGCGCAAGAACGCCCACGACCGCTTCTCCCGGTCCCACGGCAAGAGCGAGAGCGCTTCCTCCCCGGGCCTGTTCGTCGCCCCGATGAAGGAGACAATATGCCCGTGCGCCAGGTGGATCAACAGCGCCAGCATGGGGAGGGCCACGAGGGCGGATTCGCGGACAAGTTTGTCCAGCTCGATCTCCTGCGCGTACTGGTGGGCGGCCAGGTAGGCGAGCGTCAGATGGAGGGTCGTCAGCGGCACCGCGAGGAGCAGCGTGTCGATGACCGGAGGGATCGGGTGTTCGAGCTTTTCTCCCTCCTCGTCCTCCGCGTCTTCCTCCTCGTCCTCGCTAGAGATCTCGTTCTCGCCTCCGTTCGTGTTTTGTTGCTGCTGCTGCTGCTGCTGCTGCCGCCGCCGCGCCTTCTCCGCCCGCCTCATCGCCTTCTTCTTCGTCTCGTGCGAGAGACTTCCCTCGTCGACGGCCGAGATCTCCCCCGTCCGCGGGTCGACGGTCACGAACTGTGTCTGCGTGCCTGCATTCCCATTGAGAGTGGAAAGCTGTCCCAGTAGTTCCCCCTGTCGCTCAGCGATGATATCCACGAGGGTTTTGCCGGTCGGGTTGGTGGAATCTGTTGGTGGATGGGCGAGCGGGACGGAGGCGGGGTCGAACGCGTCGGTGGGTCGGGTTTGTTTCGCTGCTGCGCGGCGTTGTTTTCGGTTTTTGGGTCCTTCCATTGTTGTTGTGAATGGAAACTGATTCGGTGGGTGCCAGGTGAAGAGCCGGCGAGGATGTCAGGGGTGACAGGTGACAGGTGACAGGTGAAGGTGGAGATAGGAGGTAGGAGGTGGGAGTGTAAGAGGGTTCGTAATTCAGGCGCGGTGGTCGATTCGTTCAGGGGTTCGTGCTATGCTGGTCGGACTTTGCCTTAGGGGTGAGTTTGCAGACTGGTGGATTGGCTGATTTGGAATTGTGAGTGAGTGAGTGAGTGAGTGAGATGTCTCATCCGCCTGGCTTCGAAGTTGTCCGACTTTCGACCCTCACTCGGCGGTAAGCGGGGTAAAGCCGGAGCTATAAATAGTATCTACCAATATTCTTATACAGTACAAATGTAAGGAGACATGTAAACCACGACACCCTGATAACCACAGACTCGATACTCATATATTTGTAGTAGTGTGACTGGGAGGAAGAGCATTGACGAAATACTTGCTAGAATTCACAAGCTTGAGTCGAGCTACTACAATGTAAGTCCCTGCTTCTAACTTCGGGTATGTATGCACCATACTCCACCTACCGGTTTCCAAGTAAAAAGGGGTAATTCAACACAACTGTCACTTTTCTCACTGCACTATTTCTGACTGGGAGGGCTGGAGGAGATGGAGCTAGCCTTGCGGCTGAATTTTCCCTGCATAATATTCATTTCTGCGTCGGTCTGCCTGCTTTCGCTGGCCTATCTCGGCCTACGATCGATTCATGCGACTTACAGGTTATGTAAGATTTACTTTTTACTTACAAACTATCCAATCTATTGGTAAACGATGGCCAGAACTATCGTAACATTAAGCAAATTAAGGTAATAAGGTAGTACACACGCGTCAAACTCCAGCTATCCTATCACCATCGGCGAATCCCAAAACAAAACGAGCGAAACATGCGTGTATCGTGAATCATTGCTCTTGTGAAAACAAACTCGGTCTATCAGTTGTCATCGGTGTCCTCCTAACCAGACTGGTACAGAGCGGGTCCGGCCACGACATGAGGGTTCAGCATGGTGATGTTGAACGGAGTCACGAAAAGGTCCGAGTCCGTGATGGCAATGAAGAGAGTGCCGTTGGCGGCCGGGTCACCAGCGTAGGTCGACACATCGGGCTGGATGGTCGAACCCGAGTTCGATCCGTTGAGGGTCAGCGGCGAGTAGGTCACGTTCAGCTGCGAGGCCCAGGCGACGAACTTGGGCTCGCCCGCGCTGGTCGAAGTCACGTAGCTGTTGTTCGGACCCACGGCCTTACCGGGCTCCTCCCAGGTCAGGAAGACCTGACGGCCAGGGTAGGAGAGGGGGTTGGTGCGGTTGTGGGTGATCGCCGGCGAGCAGTCGATGCCAACCTCGGTCGAGTTCAGGCACGAGTCCGACTCGGGAACCACCGTGCTGTTCGACACGTTGGTGCCGTTGCTAATGGTCTCGCCAGACGCCTCAGAGCCCTTGATCCGGAAGGGGTTGGGCTGGTTGACGATGCTCAGAGCAGGGAAGTTCTGCCAGGCCAGGCGAGTTTGGCCGGCGGGGCAGTCGGCAATGTATGGGGCCAGAAGAGTCCAAGCCCAGGACTGGGGAACACCAACCTCAAACCACACCGGCATGGGGAAGAGACCCTCGAACTGACGGAAGATGAGCTGCTGTCTAGCTTCCGTGGTGATGGACTGCGTAAGAAGGGTCGCAGCCTCGCGGGAATCAAGGTGAGCCAAGAATCCGTAGACACCAGCCTCACCGAAGCGAGTGAGCTTCTGGCAAAAGTCGATGAACTCGTGGACAGTGGTGTACGGGTAGACATAGTTACACTGCTTGGGGGCTGCAGCGCCCAAGATGTTGGTCAACATGGTGGCATGTCCAACTTCCTGGTTGGCCATGAACTCAATCAGATGGCGATCCTCTGCGTCCAATCCAGCAGCAGTGAAATCCTCCTCCGAGAAGCGAGCCAGTCCGTCGTGGAACAGATCGAGCTCAATGTACTCTTGGTAGAGAGCGAGAGCCTGGTGCAAGATTAGCAGGTGGCCGCCACAGTCTCCGATGGGTTGGAGAGACGTACCAATGACTCGAAGTCGAAGTCACTCTTTGCATTGTAGACGGGCTCGGTGCCGTTGGTTCCAACGCCTCCTGCAGGGGTGTATGGACCGGGCTCAGGGGCATGAAGCTCTCCATCACTAGGATAGTCGAATGCCCCTGGGGCAGGAGGCAGAGGCGAGACTCCAGGGCCGATGGAGCTGGCAGTCAGGGCTCCAGTAGTGGTGGGGGTTCCGGTGTATGGGGTATGCGCCTGAGAGGTCGAGTAGGTCACCACAGGCGGAGCAGCAGCCGTAGCTGTCTCAGCGGCATCGGTAGTGCGAGCGAAGAGTTGGCCGGGCAAAGCCGAAGCCAAGGGCGAGCCCAAAGAGCTGAGCAGCAACAAGCGGCCCCAAGTCATTTTGAGTGGTGATTGTAGGTAAGATTGGGCTGTTCGAAACCTGGCGCGTGATAAACTTTCCAAAAGACACAGGCACGGAGATTCAGTTATAAAAGCTTCACGAAGACTGTTGCGTAGTGACCCGGCTGTGACGCAACCGGGTAATCATCGTCCATGTTCAAAAATCTCTGCTGGAGGCCGACTAAGTCCTGCTCGACCCAAGCAGTGCCTGGGCTAGGTTCACGGATGGGTTCGGCACCGCATGTAACCAGCTTGTATGACCCTGAAGCGATGTCAGTTGGGACCTCAAGCAGGCCGTCGACCTCGCTCCACCACGTCGATCCATCCGGTCATGTCGGCAAGCAGACATTGGGCTACAGCCGAATAAGGCTGAGCCTCAGTTTGGGATACAGTAGACGTGCTGGCCGCATGGACGCTGTTCCATGGTTTCTTCATGAGAATAGCAGTGGGTAGTATAGAATTGGGCGTCAGTGAACGAGCATGACGACTAAGTGAAATCAGGAGCTAAGGGGGGATCTCCGTCCGAAAGGGGTCTTGATCGGCCCTTCGCACTGTGACACAACCCTGGATAGCCATGGTTCAGTCAGCCCGGGCTTACAGACAATCGCTATGGTTAACTGAATAACTTGGTTGTCAAGCAAAGAGAAGACCCACTTCAACAAATCCCGTGCTCCACTGACTAGACCCACCTTAAGCTACGCGGGAGCTGAGAGCGCCGCATTGAGGCAGGCTCAGGGTGGTCAGAGTGACGTGCAGGAAAGATGGAGTCGAGTGGATGGGCAGGAACATTTATCCAGGGAATCAGAGCGCACGAGCGGCTTTATTTTGGGTTGAATGGTGGAAGGTGGTGGAAAAAGTGGAAAAAGTGGAAAATAAGGTGGAAGATGATGCATTCATCGCCGAGGCCGGATGAGGCAAGTGTGACCTCCCTTCGGCGTCACCTCCGGTTTTTCCACCGGGCTCGTTCGGGAGTTATTTTATTTTTTTTTTTTTTTTTTTTCTTTTTTTTCTATTTATTTAAAAACAGTAGGCCTACTGTTT